AAATGCACTTTTTTATTGCCTACTTTTTGCTACCGCCCGTGACTCACGTTGGTGTAAATTTGGTTTTAGAGATCTTAAACATCTTTCCGAGCGTGCCAGGGATCATCAATCTTCTATGGAGTATCTGGACAATGCAGTAAAATACCGAACATTCGGAAATGTTAATATTGCAGCACAGTTGGATGAAGGGCGCGCGGTTTCTATTCGTCGGCACAACCAAAACGTCGAGAAAAACCGCCATGTTCTCGGTCGATTGATAGATGTTTTGAAGTTCATTGGCTGTCACGAGCTGTCCCTCCGTGGGCACGATGAACGGGCTGGCTCTTCTAATAGAGGAGTATTTTTGGATATGGTGGAATACACCGCATCCCTAGATACAGTATTGAGAGATCATCTTGATGCCGCAACTGTTTCGAAAGGGACATCTAAGGATATCCAAAATGATTTGCTCGACTCAATGTATAAAATTTATTTACAACATTTGGCTCTGGAAACTGCCAGTTCCTTTCGACTCAGTCTGACGAGACAACTGACATCACGTGCGTTTCCCAACTGGCTGTGATTTTTCGGTTTGTGAAAGATGGTAAACCTACCGAGAGATTTCACAGCTTTGTACCAATCGTTGATCGCACGGCTTGCGGGATATCGGCTGTACTGAAAGAAGTGTTACAGCCTTACAACGCGAAGTCAAAATTGATAGCTCAAACTTATGAGTGGGTCGAAACATGGTGTTCAAGTTTATATAAAAGAAGATTTTCCTCATGCGCATTTTTTACACTGTTATGCACACCGATTTAACCTCGTTATTAAAAATATGTGTCTTGATACCCCTCTCGTCCGTATATTTTTTGCAAATGTTTCGGGGTTTTCTTCATTTTTTTCCGTTTCGCCGAAGCGCTCTGACCTCCTTCGCCAGATGTGTAGCCGCCGTCTCCCAGCTTGTGCACCAACACGTTGGAACTTCCAATCACGCGTGGTGCAGGGCGTGTCCAAAATTAGGTCTGAGCTCATTGAGTGTTTCAATGGCATTCAGAGCTTTCCGGTTTGGGACGAACGCTCTGTGAGGGAGGCGGCAGGTCAAAAGCGTCTGCTAGAAGATGGTGAGTTTTCATTTTTTCTCGCTTTTTTCTCCACAATATTCTATCACGTGGATGTATTATACGACGCATTGCAGTCAAGGCTAATGGATGGAGCGTCTGTGCAGTCGTGTATTTCAGACTTCTGCGATGCTGTATCTCGTATCCGGGAAACAATAAAATACGACGACACATGGAGTGCTTCTTTACGCCGCGGGCAAACAACGCAGCGTTTGATTTTGTCTGCAAAGGAATGCTGTGACATTCTGGTGAATCAAATAGGCGATCGTCTGCGCACTGAACACCTTGCCGCGTTCTCTTTGATGAACCCCAAAAATTTTTCAAAATTTGCACGTCAATTTCCCATCCATTTGTTCGCTACTGTCTCCAGATTTTACCCCATGATAAACGTGGGTAAATTGGAAAATGAATTACGATGTATATACACCAATCAAACTTTTTCGAACATCACATCAACTTGCGCGCTCTATGGGTTCCTCATAGATAACACTCTAGTAACTACCTTTGCGGCGTCTGCAAAATTTCTGGACATCATTTTGACGACGCCTATACCTTCCGCTGACGCAGAGCGAACATTCAGCATGCTGAAGTGTATTAAAACGTATCTCAGAAACACAATGAAGCAAGATAGATTAAATTCCTTGGCTGTTTTATCCATTCACAGAGACGTTATTTCTGGGATGCATGACTTTAATCAGCGCGTTATTGAGCATTTTGCTTCCAAGAAACCGCGGCGTGTTGCATATATGTTCAAGCAGTAGAAGTCTAGTAGCATATATATCTATGAGTGACCGACGCATGTCCTTATTTTTGCATTACCTTTCCTTTCTTCATAGTAACGTTTTAAACCTTATTTTAGGTTTTGTCTGCTTTCCCGAAGTTTCTGTTAATATGTCATTGTATTTATCTGGGTAAATATTGCCTTTCCTTTTGAAAGAGGTTTCAAAATAAACTATGACTATATTTATTAATCCCTTGACTTGGACCGGTTTTAAAGACACTTTCTTATCGTTGAAAATTGTCGCTTTTGCCGATTGGTTGTTACCGATGGAATGGTTTTTATACTAATAAAATGATGGGAGAACTTACAGCGCTCATCCTGTCCCCGTAGATGGGGGTGACTTGGTCCCGCAGTAGCTTGCCCCGGTTGTCAAAATGACCACGCTGAATACCAATATTCAAAAATAACCCTTTTATTTATAGACCAATTTCTGTCTTGTCTTCTATTGGCATCATATTGGAAAAACTATTACATACTAGAATGATTAGTTTTTGTACCAAATTCAATTTAATTACCAAATGTCAATTTGGATTCCAGTCTAACCACTCAACGAGCCATGCTATCCTTGATTTAACATCATTCATTTATGATAAAATAGACAGGGGCGAGTTTGTCTGCTGCACTATTTTAGATCTCAAAAAAGCATTCGACATAGTAGACCACAGCATCCTTACTCAGAAGTTAGCACATAATGGTTTTAGAGATACTGCGGGAAAATTACTATGTGATTACCTGACGGGTAGATACCAATTTGTCGAACTGGGCACTCATAGATCTCCTATGTTGCCCATCCACTGCGGAATTGTTCAAGGAAGTGTAATTGGAACTCTTTCTTTTTTGAATTTTATAAATGACTTATCTATGTCATCCAACCTTTTAAGCAAGCTATTTGCTGATGATGCTTGTCTGCTCGCTAGTGCGAAAGATATGACCACACTACAGGACAAGATGAACACTGAAATAAATAAAGTATATGATTGGATGACATGTAATAAACTTACAGTTAATGTAGAAAAATCAGAAGTAATGGTATTCACTCCAAAATCTCGCACCAGTCACATACATTTTTCGATTAAAATTAAGAGCATCGAATTTGATGTTGTCAAGTCCTATAAATACCTTGGGCTCCATATTGATAGTCAATTAAAATAGAACACACACACCACTGAAATTCATAAGAAACTGTCTAGATCAGTAGGGATTCTGGGTAAACTTAGACTTTATTTACAACCTTTAGAACTGACGAATTTCCGTAACAATAGCTACTATCTACGTTCTGCATGAATTGACTATTTAGAGTAATGTACTGTACCGGTACAGTGCCATTACAGTATTCTGCTATTATTACCCACCTCTGGTTGACCATTTCATCCACTGTCGGTATTTATAGATGATTTTTTGGATTAATTCATATTTCTCCTTCATAGACAAATCGGTCTCCAGCATTCAAGAGCCATGCCTCGGCACGGTAACTTTATTCAGTCACAATTAGCCAACGGCATCCAATGCCTTTATTAGCTATTTGAATTATCCGTCCTGTAGTTGCCATGGTTATCTGCCTGTTGGCGCTCGGAGTCGTTTTCTTCTAGTGATACCGGAAATATCCGGTCTCGCAAATATATTCATATGCTATTTGTGTTAGTATTTTTACTCTTATCATGATTCAATGATTTTTTCATTTCTACTTTTACTTTTGTGTAATTTAATGCTAGACTATTTCATTTTACGGGTGTCGCTGCTCGATAACCACTTCTGGTTTATCGCGACTCTTTTCACCGCGGAATGCAACTTTTCATCTTTTTTCCTGATCTTGTATGTAAAAAGTGTATTTACGATGTGGTGATAAAATAAACTACTGATTACTGATTTTAACAATAAACAATTGAGTTTCCAGTATCCTTTGCCTTTTTTGACTGGTTTTATGTTCAAGTCTAAAGTACACAGGGCGTGGTCTGAGTTGATCGCAGGAGTAATCGCACATTCCTTCGTTTGTGTAATGAGATGGTTGGAAAAAAGAAACAAATCGATACGTGGCATGATATTGGTGAGTTTTTGAATATGAGAAAAACACTGCTTTGTAGGATATTTCAATCGGAAGACGTCAGAAAAACGATACTCCTCCATTATATTGAGAAGAGTGTTTCTAGTCCGTTGATTCGCATAATATGGTAGACCTCCTTTTTTATCCATATCATTATTTAAAATTAAATTAAAGTCATCAGCGAGTATTACGTGGTCAGTTTCTATTGTTTCTAGCACATTAAGCATTAATTGCTCAAAAAATTCGACATTATCTTCATTAGGTGCATATAAATTGACTAAACCCATTTGCTCGGATCCAATCGGTACTTCTAATGCAACATATTTTCCATCATCTGATTTGTGTGGTTTTTCAATTTTATATAAGATATTTTTTTTTGAACAGAAGAACAGAATGCATACCCCTCGTGGAAAAAACGCCGGTTTCTCCCCTTGTCCATTGTTCTATTTCATCCTCGGTACTGTGTATTTCTTATAAATGAACAACTTAAATTTTTTTAGGTTCAGAAAAAGAAATATTTCTCTTCTTTTCTTGTAAGATCGAATGCCTCCAACATTTAAAGAGGCAACTTTTAACTTGCATCTAGACACTTTAGAATATTGTGTTAATGTTGCTTCCGGTTGTATCCCCTTCAGTCACGCACATATATCCAATTCAAGAAAAAATTATTTTTTATTACAAATTGGCTCATTTGTGGTCATCTTTGACAATAATAAAAAAAATTTCTAACCCCCATATGCAAATTAGGGGATGTGTACAAATGTACACTTTGTGTCAAAGTCGAGAAAAAGTCGCTGAAAATTGAAAGAAATCAACAAATGGAAATTCTTAAAAAAACATCGAGTTACTTCGCAATCGTCTCAAAATTGTCTTTTGTTGCACAAAAGTTGTGGAAACGACCAAAATAAATGTTATCTTGATTAAAAAATCAAGTTTCTAGAGCACAGATCTGTAAAGATTTTTTTTCAAATTTTTTCGTTTCAAAAGTTCACTTGCTATGAAAACTCAAGAAGCAATTCTTCTCTTTTGTGAGGCACAAGAAGACGTTGCACTTGTTGCATTTAACTCTACTACTTCCATTTCAACCCTCGTATTTGCATCTCTGGCCTAATCCATTAATGCAAGATGGAAAATGCATAAATCCATCATATCTAACATCTCCAACAGATCGCTCTGATGATTTGCGCCTCTTAGCCAAATGTGACACTTGTCTTTTTGTTTGAACTTGTTGAGAAGTAGAACGCGGTCTTCCGACAGTGGGACTCTCCACCAATGCCGTGGTAAACACGTTAGCTTTGAGCAAAGCAAATGCAACCTCGCTTCTGTATTCCAGTAGGTCCATGATGCGTGACCTTGGAGTTCCATTTGCTCGTTCAATATCGCGATATTCTAGCCACGAGTTCGCTAGCGCAAAATCCATGAAGTGGAAAATTACTGGCCACTTCTTTGTTTTAGCTTTGGTCCTGTACAACGAAATGGGGAAATCTAGTTTATCGACTCCTCCCATATTATCGTTGTACACCTGAACACATTTTGGCCTTTCTACCATGATGTGTTCTTTTGTGCTGGCTCTCCACCGTCGCATCTGATCTTTTTCACCAACGCCAGCGAAGCTTGAAGCAAGTGTTACAGCGCCATTATCCATCCAACGGACTACACAAATATATATCACCTTTGTCTGATACCTTGTGATCGATTGCACCTCTTCCTTTCTTGAGGTCTTCTTCAGATTTTAGTTCACACCCCATCAGTCGATTGATTTCAACAACTCCAAGTGAATGGATGCCTCTTGATTTTAATTCTCTTATCAGTGGCATTCCGGTGAAATAATTGTCAAAACAAATTTTGTAGTTCTTTTGTTTTGGTATGGTCTCCACCAAGCGTATAACCGCAGATGCACCAAGACCAAGATGCTTAGTCCACTCCGAAATTCCTGTGCCGGCACCTTGATAAATTTCAAAATCGACTGCTCGCCCAGATTTACCACAAATAACAAAATTCTTGAGACCAACAGGATTGGGTTTACCTTTGACGAATTGTTTAGCAGGTACTCTACCAGTGAAAGGAATCATTTGCTCATCAACCGCATTGAATTCCTCACGAGGAAACTGGATGCAACGATTTCGAACTGCATTAATAACTGGCTTCACCTTCCAAAACTTACAATTTTCTCCAGTAGGAGGTTGTCTAGCCGCATTCACGTGTAAGCTATTTCGAAGCAGGAAGTATCTATTAACGGGCATGGATTCAGCAATCTTGTCAACACGATTCACTTTTTGCCAATACATCCGAAGACGTGGGAAACCCAAGTTAGCCATCACAATCGACGCCCCAAAAAAGCGACATATTTCGACTGAATTGGTTCCAAGAATTCTGCCCTTTGCTTGCAAGTGATAAATATTTGTTTGATCCGCAAAAAGTTGAAATAGCTCTGGTTGGAAGTAGTTGAAGAAATATTTTGCAGGTGTATCTAGAGCAGTGTTTCCCAACCCGAGTCCGCGGTCTCAAATGCGTCAGCGGAGCGTCTGAATGAGTCCGCAACGAGCCAGAAATTGTGGATGGGAAATTGAAGTGCAAATTTTGAAAAATTTTTGGGGTTCATCAAAGAGAACGCGGCAAGGTGTTCAGTGCGCAGACGATCGCCTATTTGATTCACCAGAATGTCACAGCATTCCTTTGCAGACAAAATCAAACGCTGCGTTGTTTGCCCGCGGCGTAAAGAAGCACTCCATGTGTCGTCGTATTTTATTGTTTCCCGGATACGAGATACAGCATCGCAGAAGTCTGAAATACACGACTGCACAGACGCTCCATCCATTAGCCTTGACTGCAATGCGCCGTATAATACATCCACGTGATAGAATATTGTGGAGAAAAAAGCGAGAAAAAATGAAAACTCACCATCTTCTAGCAGACGCTTTAGACCTGCCGCCTCCCTCACAGAGCGTTCGTCCCAAACCGGAGAGCTCTGAATGCCATTGAAACACTCAATGAGCTCAGACCTAATTTCGGACACGCCCTGCCCCACGCGTGATTGGAAGTTCCAACGTGTTGGTGCACAAGCTGGGAGATGGCGGCTACATATCTGGCGAAGGAGGTCAGAGCGCTTCGGCGAAACGGAAAAAAAAATGAAGAAAACCCCGAAACATTTGCAAAAAATATACGGACGAGAGGGGTAACAAGACACATATTTTTAATAACGAGGTTAAATTGGTGTGCATAACAATGTAAAAAATGCGCATGAGGAAAATCTTCTTTTATATAAACTTGAACACCATGTTTCGACCCACTCATGACTGCCGCGCCGTCATAAGTTTGAGCTATCAATTTTGACTTCGCGTTGTAAGGCTGTAACACTTCTTTTAGTACAGCAGATATCCCGCAAGCCGTGCGATCACGATTGGTACAAAGCTGTGAAATATCTCGGTAGGTTTACCATCTTTCACAAACCGAAAAATCACAGCCAGTTGGGAAACGCACGTGATGTCAGTTGTCTCGTCAGACTGAATCGAAAGGAACTGGCAATTCTCAATTTCCAGAGCCAAATGTTGTAAATAAATTTTATACATTGAGTCGAGCAAATCATTTTGGATATCCTTAGATGTCCCTTTCGAAACAGTTGCGGCATCAAGATGATCTCTCAATACTGTATCTAGGGATGCGGTGTATTCCACCATATCCAAAAATACCCCTCTATTAGAAGAGCCAGCCCGTTCATCGTGCCCACGGAGGGACAGCTCGTGACAACCAATGAACTTCAAAACATCTATCAATCGACCGAGAACATGGCGGTTTTTCTCGACGTTTTGGTTGTGCCGACGAATAGAAACCGCGCGTCCTTCATCCAACTGTGCTGCAATATTAACATTTCCGAATGTTCGGTATTTTACTGCATTGTCCAGATGCTCCATAGAAGATTGATGATCTCTGGCACGCTCGGAAAGATGTTTAAGATCTCTAAAACCAAACTTACACCAACGTGAGTCACGCGCGGTAGCAAAAAGTAGGCAATAAAAACAAAAAAGTGCATTTTTGTCCTCGCTGTAACACAACCATTCGTGTTTTTTATACCAAGTTTCTGCGCAGAATGTACGCCGACGCTTTCCTCCGTCATGGGATTGTTCCAGTGAACAATTTTTTGGTTGATAAGGCCCAAGACGTTGTACCTCTAATTGTTGTTCCAGCGACAGCTGCGAAAACGGAGTGCGAAGTAGTGCATCAACCTTATTCATTATGAGGTCTAAGGCTAAAAAATGCGAAGCCGGAAAGAAGTGAGGAGCTCAAAAGGAATGTGGAAAATCGAAAGCAAATGGACTAAAGGTCTCCAACTGATTCAAATAGCGAAACAAGCGACAAAAACGAAGGCGAGGAAAATATCAACTCTTCAAGCAACCAACGAACGAGAAGAAATGCGTGAATATGTCAACACGTTGTTGTAAGAAACGTCGGCATTGTGTCGTCATAATTTCGGGGCTAGCCCCGATGATTCAGTAAAAGAAACAGAAAACAAACGAGACAAACGCGGCGAGTGGAAGATAAAAGAGAGAATAGGATATACAATGAGCAACCGGGGCAAAATCGGCGTCGCCCCGTCGACGTTCGGCGAAGGCTTTGCGAGCGAAAAATGAACCATGTCGGGAGAATATGGCTAAGGTAGACAGTCTGTGCAACCGATATTGAGGTATTTTTCAAAAATTTTTTATTATACCGAAAATCCTATTGACGCGCTGCCACTGGCGGATGTAATGAAACAAAGCCTGCCCCATTACGTGATATATACGAGGTGATATATATTCAAGATAAAATGATCCATATAGGCTGAATTTCAGACTTGTCGTCCTAATCCGTAGCATAAAAAAAAGAGCCACATCGTTATTACCAGCAAGTAGTTTTCTCACATCAATATTGTAGAAGCGAGTCCAGCAATGTAGAAGGTCATGGACCATGACTTGTTGGGAGCCATTCGGTTAAGTACCATTCTCAATGTTTTACTCACAAGAATCACAAAATACTGATGCTAACATGACTCCTTTGTCCTATATCTTTCATTCTTCATTGATAGCATATAGCATAAGCTTGAGCTTTGTTGTGCCTTTGCCAGGTAGTATTTTCTGTTAAGTAGTACCTCAAAACGTGATAATTATATAGTTTGCACAACTTCATTTTCAAATCAAAATTGGTATAGACTGAATCATGTCGCATTTCTTTTAGGCCGTCCAAAGCACTGACTGAAAGTTGACAAGACCATTTGTTATTGCATCAAATGCGACATCACTGAGTGAGATTGAAGCATCTCTCGAATCTAAGAGCCATGTATGTAATGAAAATATTTCGAATGTTTCATTTTAAATCTAATGAGGTACATGTAAATTGATATATCATATTAAACTCTAATATTGAATGATCAAGTTTTTACAAAGTCTTGTAATTTTTTTTGGCCGGCCCCGTTTAGAACTTGATATATCATCATGATAAACACTTCTAGTCAGGGACAGTTGTGAATATTTGAAGGTTTAAGCTTTATTATATATATATACATATGTATTTTTGTAAAGTGTTGTAATTTACTATTTCCCAACCGCTGGCACGCGGACCAGTGCGCAGCTGGTTCTGGAGTAATTTTTGCTGCTGTGTGATTTTTTTCGACGTTAAACTGGGAGATATGGTATTTATTGTAATCGTATATTCGAGGTTCCAATTAGATGCCATGGCGTTATGTTAATTGTCCAAGTGCCTAAAATCTAAAAAAACATCCACATACGTATTTTAGACCTCATCGCCTCCACAGAAAAGTGACTATTTTTACATGACTATTGTTTTTTTGACAACAAATATTAATACCAAAAAAAGTGGATTTGTATGGTACGATGAGTGTTAAATACTTCACAAATGGAGAGAAGAACAGCTTTTGGTATAAAATTCATGCTACCACGAAATTGAGATTCACAAATAAGTAAACTTTAAATGCCCGACCTAGATATGTTTTCTCCAACTCGTTTTTTTTTTGTGATGTAAAACAGCGTAAAATTTTCATTATAAAATAGAATGGTCTTATCTCATAGTGCTTTTGGTATTCTAGAGATGTTCCCTGCATTCTATGTAAGAAATCTTGAAGAAAATATTACAAATTCATTTGAAAATAACTTTTTAGCGAAATGATTTCTTTTATCAAAATTTGTAATTTTCCGAATAGGCCCCCTAACCATCGTTCACTCGCAGTACTCTAATTGATAATGAATGTTCACAAACAAATTCTGTCGCGATGGTGGGTAAAAAGAAAAAATTAAAGTGTAACATTGACACCAATGTTAGGCAGGAGAGTTGTAGGTTTCCATTTGATGTCTCTTGTACTGCTGAATATTCCGATACTCTGTGAATATCATCAATTTACGTACAATGTCCTTCAGTGTCCACTTATAGAACAGATATGCCAGAACACGAGAAATTGGTAATTGTGCTTTGGATTCATAAATTGCGAGTCAATTGACTCACTATTAAGGGTTTATTAAAATAAGTGAATTAATTGCATCGTAAATCGCCTTGTAACTT